AAATGAAAAATACCCAAAGATCTCCATAAGGATGTTCAAGTGATTAAAAAAAAAGGTTTAATTTGCGCATAAATGTCATTTCAATGCTTTTTTTATGATGGTAAATCAGAGCGGTTATCTAATGCAAGTGTGTTAAACACCTCAAAGGACGGTAGTGCAAGAAAGAACAATTGAATGAATTGATCTGAAGAAGTACAAAAACAGGTCGCATGCATGGAATCAGATTTTGCGGGTCAAATTAAGTTCTTCCCCATCGCGCAGCTATAGTTTCATCCTCTGCTTCGCAAACTCACCGGTTATAGATCACCCTCATGCATCTCATAAGGAAAGACATCAAACAAATATCCGGCTATTGACCTGTCCTCCCAGACTTGATTGAGACTCATAGCGGGCTGCAGGAGCAGAATGACAAACAAAGGAGGCAGGAGGTTAAAAAAATGGAAACCAAATCGATAGAGATGACTGAAATGACGAAGGACTTGAAGGTCAGAGCTCGTGGTCCCTTAGAGTAGATAATACAGGGACATAATCAATCTCGTCTAATTTAATCTCTCCCCCATCTCATACCTGATCCACACTCATTTTTTTTCTTTCCATGGTCGGGTCTTTTCATTTTCTGCCCAACGACTTGACTGCATTCTGATATTACAATGGTCGATGAAATAAGTTTGCTGAATGGGCTGAAGAACAATGAAAACTATGCTGGCGCACCATATGCTGATTATTCAGAACAATATTGATGCTTTGAGATAATACAGATGTTTTGAAACGTTTTGGTGCTGAAGTATAATGGTTTTGACAAAGACAACAATATAATGATTTTGCTCAGGCTTATTCCTGTCTTTATTGCTTTAGATACTAAAATTATACTAACATTTTGAAATTGTTCTGATGCAACAAAGCAATGTTGTTTCAAAACATAAAAAACACTGTTGTTTTAAAAAGAGATATTGGTGGTTTACATGTTGATGTTCAGAATAATAATTCAGACGAAACCCAGCGGGCACCTTGGTGTCAAAACAACATAAATAAACATAAAAAAAACATGTTAAAATGTTGTTGTGTTTTTGACGCCAATGTTAGATGTCAATTTGAGGTCTTTTTGACCACAAATTTAGACAATTAACATTGAATCGATTGGATGTTAACTTTCTATCTTGTTGTCAAAATGACATCAAATTGACATCTAAGATTGGAGTAAAAAACACGTTAAAATTTGAATTGCAGGACTGCATTTATGATCTGTTTTTTAAGCCAGTCTTATATGACGATTTGATTTCATTTTGACATCATGGTAGTTTACATGCATTGTAGGGATAAAAAAGTGCAAACTGGTAATAGAGGCTTTCAGATGAATAACATTTTTACTACTTTTTGTGCTGTTATTTTAGCGGATACAAGGGCATCAATATGTGGATGTCAAATAGACATGAACGTTTTGACATCAAATCAATTCAGTTAATTTTTACATGTTTTTACATCGCTATAGATGTCAATTTGATGTTGTTGTGACATCAAGGTGCTCTCTGGAAACGTCAACCCCAATCCCCCCACCCTCTAAGTAAAAAAAGGTATGATAACCTTGGATAAAAATATTATGGTTTCTTGGTTAGATAGGAGTGGTATTGCGGTTTTAAAACCTTGACTTTTCCAAACTGTGGGATACCTTAAAAGCGGTTATCGTCCCATGACTTATAATGTTGGATCATACTGAATCAGGTCCAATAAGTATTAGACATTGTAACGCCCGTGCTACAGTGATGGTTGGGTTTAGACTATACTGTAGAATACACGTCACTCGTATAGCTTTGAATGGGGATTCAAGAGTTCACACTTATCTGATGATTGATTATTAAGCTTGTTTGGCATGCTGTCCCGAGAGAGAGCCCTAAGCTCATAAGATCCCCAAGCCCGGGGCTCCCTCCTGTTTGCAAGGCAAGAGGGGAGTTTGAGCTAGATCTCAAGAACTCTCCTACTATAGCTAATGAACAAATAGTAATTGCTCTTAAAAGATAAATGCTTACTAGATTCATATGGTGCTTGGATTAGTCAATTATTTTAAGTTGCATGTTTTTGGACAGTGGAAGGAAACTGGGGAACCCAGGATAAAGCCACATGAGCATGGAAAGAATATGTAAACTCCGCACAGAAACGTTGGTTGGTTTGGTAAGGACTCAAACCAGTGACAGTCTTGCTGTAAGGCAACAGTGCTAACCACTGGGCCATCTTGCCCCCTATCTAGGAAAGGAGGAGGAGTAGGGGTGGAAGGAGGGATTCTTCAAACAAAGATGGCTTTTATATGGAACTTAGGGTATTTATAATCTTTCGTCTTTCGGATGAGACGTTAAACCGAGGTCCCGACTCTCTGTGGTCGTTAAAAATCCCAGGATGTCCTTCGAAAAGAGTAGGGGTTTAACCCCGGCATCCAGGCCAAATCTGCCCACTGGCCTTTGTCCATCATGGCCTCCTAACCATCCCCATATTCCAATTGGCTTCATCGCTTTCTCCTCTCCACCAATCAGCTGGTGTGTGGTGTGTGGTCTGGCGCAAAATGGCTGCCGTCACGTCATCCAGGTGGATGCTGCACACTGGTGGTGGATGAGGAGATTCCCCCCATTGTGTGTAAAGCGCTTTGAGTGCCCAGAAAAGCGCTATATAAATGTAAGGAATTATTATTATTATTATTATTATTATTATAATGACTTACGAATCGCCTGATTGCTGAATCATAAATTGGATAATGCAGGACCAGCTGCAAGCATATCATAAGCAAATCATAATCATAAGCATTTGATAATCTCGAAATTAGTTTATAAATAAACTTCACAAAGGGTAATTTTAATATGGCAAATAAAGCCACGCCAACTAGTACAGGAGCCAATCATCAATCGTTATTAATCGTTACTGACGTTTCTCCAAGGGAAAAGCTCAGATGGGAGAGGTGGCTTTTACAACAGTTTGGTGGTCAACAAGCACACTGGAATATCAGCAAAAATTTGCTTCACATACATAAGAAATATATTCACATAAAGCTTAAAAATCTCAACTTTTAAATGAACCAAGTGCACTTGAAAACAAATGTTTTTTGATTTTGTAATCTGTGTGAAATGAACGCAAGTTACAGTTTGTCCTGTCAAATGCACGTAACATGACAGCAACTTCTCAAACACCCACAAACTTGTAAACAAAGAGTCGCTGTCATTTCTGGAGGAGATTCTCCATTAAGAAGTTGTGAATTACTTCAGAAGACCAGCGCGATCTGACAGCATTATCCAGAGGATGATCATGTGTAACACAGCCAGAAATCAGGTTGATGTCGTAATCTCATTCATTTCGAGTGCGCATGTGTATTAGCTTGGGCAACCTGAAAATATGCCGATTTTTTTTTTTTTTTTTTTTTTTTTTTTTTTTTTCATTCAAACATTTAGAAATGAAACTAATGAGACAGTTGTTTAATTTTATTGGTGATTCCAAATATGTAATGTAATCATAAGCTTGGCAAACAGTTTTGGAGAATTTCATATTTCCCCATTCAGAAAGAATGCACAAGCATACTACCCGAGAGGCATTTCAAAGATGGCAGCTGAGTGAAATGCCTTAAAGGGGCTTAACTGTGAGCTCTTGATTTAGGGTTGGGGTAGACAAATCAAATCACTTTTATTGTCACATCATCAGCAGCACGTGTGCTATGATGAGTGAAAAGCAAATACATCGACAAACGTTAATAACACACAATGTAATAGGTAATTTACAGCTACAGGCTGGAGGACATACTACTACTACTACTACTACTACTACTACTACTACTACTACTAAAGCAACAGCATTAGTTTAAAACAGATTTGATGTTTCAAAAAAGATATTTTAAACAATAATGTTTGCCAAGCTGAATTGTATTTAAAAAAGTGATCATTTTAAAAAGAAAACCAGATCTAAATATTTTTAGCACTTCAAAACAATGCTGACGTGTCCTCGTTGTTTGAAAAACTGTTTTAAAGCTTCAGAGTATGCTTTGAAGCTAATATGGTGGCTTAAAACAATATTGAATTTTTCAAAACAAGATGTTCCAAAACTGTTGATGCTTCAAAACAAAAGCGATGCTTCAAAGTAAATCAGATTTTTTCAGAAGCAGTTCTGACTTAACAATATTGACAATGCAAGGCTGGTTATTGCATTTGCAGAAAATGAAAAAAAAAAAAAAGATGAATGCTGAACATACCGTATTAATATGACTTATTCGAAATGCGATGTCCCCAGTGTTTATATGTTCCTCATAAACCACAAGCCTTCCTGCGCTTAGAAATGTCAAAAATATTACGCTCATTTGCCAGACATTTGTTACAGTTTGACACTTAAACCGCGCGTCCCACCAGGGCCCATATTTGTAAAAGCCAAAGCGGCGGCTTTGACCCTCATAAATTAAAGTGGGTATTCGACAACTCTGATGTGCTTTAAAGAGTATTGAATTCCTGTGAGCTGGATGAATTGCAAGCCGCCGTGTCTTGAAAAGAGGGAGGGCTGATGCTGTATAGCTTACTCCTCTATCATATTCACTGCCCTTTCAAAGTGTATCACCTCCCCTATCGAATCATAATCCTGTTCTGAGATACGCCGACCTGAAAATGAAATATGTTTGCAGGTTTGTAAATGTATCAAGTATTTTTTTTTCCCAGCGTAAGTGTGCAGAACCAATACTTTTAGCACAATCCAAACATTGCCTTTGGCAGCTGAATATGTGTTCAGGTTTTGCTGCCGTAAGCCACTGTGGATTTTTTTCATATCTCTCTTAGGCCTGCGCTTCTGTCTGTCTCTCCCTCTCCAATTCCCTCATCTCCTGAGAGATATATTGAGGGTATTCTCAGTGTCCTCGCTGCAGTTGATCAGCTGTGAGGCACAGAATCCTGTCTGTCCTTATTTGGATGAATGAATTATTAATATTTCACCGCTTTATCTAAAGTTACTGCTCCTCTTGCTTGTGTTGTTTTGTTTTCTAATCTTTTTTTTTTTCCTTTCTCTTTCTCATTCCACAGCCAACAAAGCTGACTTTACATAGGAAAAACACGGCTCTCTCCTCTTGCAGTTGAATGGAAATAAAAGGGATTCTGTGACCTTGGAAGATGAAGATGTTGTTGCCATGGGAACTCTTAATCCTGCTGTCACTCAAGAGCTGCCTAGCAGGTACGATTTCCCCCAAGTTGCCTTTGATAGCTCACCTGTTCTGCATAGTCCCCACTTCAGCAGGGAGAGTGGCTTTTCATTCCTCTGTCTAATCATTTTCACATTCCTCCGGAGACAGATGCATGCTGGGAACATGCTCTCGTGGTTAACCCAGCAGGACATATGTCTTGACACAGTTTCTGATTTTTATTTTGCTCTGAGGCAAAAACTTTGACCGACTTATTTATGCATTTTTTGTTTCTTTTTATAACGAAAGACTGGCATAGGAAACTTGATGTAAAATTAAAGATTGAAGCTCCTTGTTTTGAATTTACGTTGGACACTGAGTGCTGGCAATACATACAAACTCTGAAAACTAGACTGACACAGTTTCATTTTACTAGAACATCTATGTTAAGCTGCTTTGACACAATCTACATAGTAAAAGCGCTATAGAAATAAACATTATTGTTCAGTACTTCAACACCTATAAATGCATTACCTGCATGCGCTATATGAACAACATGATGTGTGTAAACCAATAAGCCATTACATCATGACTACATTTAGCCTAGGGGTGTCAAACTCGGAAGGGCCACAGTCTTAGGCCCCGTTTACATTAATGCGTTTTCATTTTAAAACGTTTAAGTTTTGCTATGGTTACGCCATCTGTCCACACTACGCTTTCGAGCACCGAAAACGGAGCATTTTGGAAACGCTGAAGAGACCATTTTCATTCTAAAACGCTGCTGCTCTGTCTGGATGAGGGAAAATGGAGGCATCTGAAAACGGAGGCGGGGCTGCTGACATTAGCTTCTTTTATTCGGGCTTTTCCTCAATATTAAGTAGCCCACACACAGTTCAGTACTTCATCCTCTCCTTGTAAGTTCAGACTTTGCAATTTTGATACAGAAAACAGACTCCCGAGGACATGTCGGGTAAATCTTCAAAGAAAACAGTGTGTAAACTTATTCACATCATCCTGGATACGTACATTGTTTCACTTTCTCAACAATAAAATGAAAACATGTTTTAAGGAACTGCTATTTTAATATTGATCTTAACTTAACAGACAGCAGAATTGTAAGGCGTCATGCATGACGTCATGAGTGTCATCTTCAATGTATATTTAAAACAAAACAGAGCCTATAACATTACTGCCTCCTTTCAGTTTCATTAAAAAATACTAAACATACTCTCTCTTTTGCTGAATATCAGTTTTAATAATCAATATTGGCCATAAAAGTATAACGTACAATAAGTTTATACATTATAGGAAATAAAGGCAAACAATCAGTCAATATACAGAATGTACGTGGTTAAGTTAATTATTAACTTATCTTTGCATCCAGCCAAAACACGATACCTGAGAACAAGTAATAGATTCAAAGTTCGGGAATATGTTGTTAGATATAGACAAAAAGATAAATTAAATATAACGTTTAACAATTATAGTAAGATTGGATCATGAGGTAGTTTCTTAAAGAACAGTCAGACGAACTATCATCTGGCTAGGAATGCTGCAGCGCATGCCAGAGAGTGTGTGGTCACGTGATGTGCATTTTCAGTGTGGTGTAGATGGAGAGTCGTTCAGAAACGCTAGTGTGAACGCAAATTGTATTCATTCTAAAACCCTGTTTTAAAACTAAAACGTACTAGTGTAAACAGGGCCTTACAGTACACAGTTTAGTTTCAACCCTGCTTCAACACACTTGCCTGTAGGTTTTAAACAAGCCTGAAGGACTCGATTAGTAAGATCAGGTGTGTTTAATAAGAGTTGGGACTAAACTGTGCTGAGCTGCGGCCCTCCATGAGGAGTTTGACACCTCTGGCCTAGAGCTATAAGCATGTTTAGCAACTGAATGGTACTGCAGGTGCAGTTCAGACAGTGTTATATTTGCTACTTTGGTTAGTACGATGCTTTGTGTCAGAATTTTGGAAAGCTGACCTTTTCATTGTTTGTTTTTTATGTATTAAAAAATAGTGCTTGGATGGTCAAACGGCAAGCTGTTGTCCAGCCATGTGTTGTAAATTGCTCATTGATGATAGAAGAGGGTATTAGAGACTTTTGTGCATTGTTCACTGTAGTGTAGGGGTGCAGTATGACAAATCACAAGATGTTGAAACAGTGGTGACCAAGGCATTGTGTCACAGAACTTCAGCCAGTGTAGCTGATGACCAAGCTGCATTCTCATGGTTACTGTACACTTTTGGCAACAATGCAATAAATGGACACAGGATTATTGAGAATGGACTGTGGATGTTTGGATGGAGTGGTCTGTTCTGACCAATGGCATGCATTTGCAAAATGACAAGATGGCACTAAATTGCAACAATATTGGCCTTTCTGTCAGTTTACACCAAGATCTGTCTTAAAAGGCAGACAATAGAATAACTAAGATTAGACCAATATAAATACATGTGAACTAGTTCTTGATGTAGTTAAAGGTTCATGAAACCCCCCTCTTTTAGGTTCTTTTAAAAAAATGCACCATGATGGGGTGGAGCACTGCGAGCAGAGGGAGGAGAGGGCGTGAGGGGGAAAAGAGCTCAGTTAGCTCACAAAATGAGACGCAAACCGTGAGGAGAACCATGATTTTATAGTTTGCAGATTTAAAATGCAAATAAATAAACAATAAGTAATTTAATGTCCTGCTACATACAGTTGCCGTCAAAATTATTAGCCCCCTTAGAATTTTTTTTTTCTTTTTTAAATATTTCCCAAATGATGTTTAACAGAGCAAGGAAATTTTCACAGCATGTCTGATAATACAGTATGTCTGGAGAAAGTCTCAATTGTTTTATTTCGGCTAAAAGTAAAAGCACTTTTTAATATGAAAAAAAAAGCATTTTAGGGACAAAATTATTAGCCCCTTTAAGCTATATATTTTTTCGATTAGTCTACAGAATAAACCATCATTATACAATGACTTGCCTAATTACCCTAACCTGCCTAGTTAACCTTATTAACCTAGTTAAGTCTTTAAATGTCACTTTAAGCTGTGCAGAAGTGTCTTGAAAAAATCAAGTCAAATATTATTTACTGTCATCATGGCAGCAATAAAATAAATCAGTTATTAGATTTAAGATAAGATTAGAGTTATTAAAACTATTATGTTTAGAAATGTGTTGAAGAAATCTTCTCTCCGTTAAACAAAAATAAGCTGAAAAAAATAAACAGGGGGGCTAATAATTCTGACTTCAACTGTATTTTACTCGTAATTTCATATAAACATGACCACACTATGTTATATCATTAGAAAGATAATCGCGTTTATATATCACTAAAAATGAGGAGGACTTCTCTTCTCCTCAATCCCCGGGTCTGAATGCAAACACAGTGAGTAGCAGTGCAGGAGGTCTGCCCTATCTATTTCAATCATTAGCGCTGCCTGTAATCCGGAGGGTTTTAAACATGTGTGAACATTGCAGGGTGAATATAGGTGATGTATTCGAATGGTAACAAACTCAACTGATAAAAGGCAAAGTCCGCCATTCTCCAATTCTCTAACAGCTCGTCCGACAAAAATGCTTGCTGCAAACCAACAGCTTTCGGTGGCCCTGACAGCATCGTGGGGAAAACCATGCAACAAACATCATGGATCATAGAAGCAAACAAATACAACCCTTTATAAATGGCTAACTACTGCATGCCATGTGCGGCCGCGTGGTCTCACAGCTTGCCTTCGGAAAGCACATGCTCTCATGAATAATTAAGCAAGGGATAAGATGGGATAAGAAAACTCAGCTATGAATATTAATGCAAAACAGACACGTCATCAATGGACAGGCAGATCACCAATTTTGATCCCTCCCGAATTTTATTTATTTATTTTTTAACCTGGAAGATGTAATTAGTTTTCCCCACAAATAAAGCTGACACTTGCTAACGTTGTCTTAGCTTATGCTCAGCACACAAATCTGTTAAAATCACAAAAAAGTACTCAAGGGTTCCCTAAAGTTTGAAATCAGTTTTACCAAATGAAATCACACAAATGTTAGCACTTTTTTTGACTTTCAAAGATTGCATCTTAATAATCTGTGCTTTTTGGTGTATGTTATTTACGCTTAATTTGAAAACAATGCCAGTGCAGTAAAATAAAATAAATACACTTCTACTACAGATGCATATTGTATGCAGTATTGCCTCTCACATAAAGTGATCTAGTTTCAGGATGTTTAGATATTCTGTCTAGAAACACAGACAAATGTTTCATACAGACAAAAGTATGTATGTATTTACCTTTTAATGTAGGCAGTTTCTTTATGCATTATGTTTGTTCACATTCACATACAGCATTTAACGTCAGAAATAAACGATATGTACTTTTATAATTAGGTCTGTTCTTTTTGTTATGCTATATTTAACTATGCCATGTTGTTTTCTTTTACAATACACCTTCAGAAAAACCTGCAATCTGCCAGCTTTATAGAACATTGAAAGAGTTAATGCCATTATTTTCAGCACTTAGCTGACTTTGGATGTGTGATAAATCTCTGCCATGCCTATAATCAAACCCTGCCAGCTTCAAATTGTTTCTAAAGTATTGTAAAATTAACACATAAAAGTGCTTATTATTTCTCCAATGGTTAGTGCAACTCTCAGCACATACTGCACCGCTGTAAGGAAGAGGCAGGTGCCCTATTTAAACCAACCAATGTTCCACACTTAGTGCCAGTGCTCCAGTTATTGCCGTTGTTGTGCTACAGTAACTATGCCAACTCAAATGGGCATTTGCATTCAAGCCACAGGTGCTCTTTTGATTGCACAGCTTGATATTCAGAAAGCTTAGCTGGAGAGAAGAAAGTGCAGAGGCCAGGCAGACCTCAGATTGAAGGGCAGCAGCTATTCAGCACAGAGACCAAAGCCACATATCTAACAAACTGCCGTAGCTTTGAAGACGGACTTTTATTTCAAGGTGGCATGTTATGCTCCTTTTCGTAAGATGTCAAATAAATAAATGTCCTCAGAATGTGTCTGTGAAGTTTCAGCTCAAAATACACCACAAATCATTTATTAC